TATGAGAAAAGAAACATTGCATGAGTAATCGTATCACAAACACATCTCATGATCCCATGGCATGTTAGATGACCCAATTCCATTTAACAGTATGCACAGTAAAATTGCAGTAAAGCCAGAAAGAGCAGAAAGAGATCACATTAGTGTGTTAATCAGTCACTAGAATACGCAGTGCAGCGCAGTGTGCGGAAGCTAGCCAAACCCAGATGTTTTTGTTCAGTGCATGTTGTGATGAATTACACCTGTTCCTGGAAAGAGCTGGCCTAAAGGATGGTTTTTATCCCAAATGTTCTGATAGCGTACAAAATGTACAAATGGCGTTTAATGGCAATTTAAATAGCATCTAAATTTTGTAGCTAAAGCTCTAAATACTAACATTTGCAGTACCTGAGGGCACTTTCATTAACCCGTTTGCTGAGTCAGAGTCAGAGTGACACTGATGCTTTCGGTTTGTTTGCCATTTGGTTATGTTTAGTTTCACACTGCGCATAATCAAATGAAGCACAAAGCTAAACAAAAAAATTGGCTGAGAGATGTGAACATTTTAAGGCATTTGTTTCAGTCGTTGGTCAGAAATACGTCAACGGTAAGAGTAAATAATCTTTTGCATGGAAATCACAAAAACCCCCACAGAGAACACGGAGTCAGTGCCGCACAAATGATTAGGCAGTCATATAGATAGCGAGTTTAAAACATGTTGTGTATGCTTTTCACCGTTTTTCTCTTTTAATTAATACCCAGGGTGCATTGCATTTCCGCAGCGCTACAGCTCTGTCCTCTGGTTCAGTTTGCACCTCATGGTTCAGTTTAGCCCAATGTCACTCACAACCTAAAATACATGGCGTGCTTGGTTCACTTCCTGCAATTGGGTCGATTCAGAGTCAAATCGTTTTCTCACTGCAGGCGAATCACACGTGCAGCGTTCGCTCTGAACTGGACTGTGACCACCTCACTCAGAGGCTGTCGGGCCGGTCGCTTGATAATGTGATTATTGTGTTCTCACCTGTCCAAACGAACTCAGGAGGAAAACACACCAGGGACTAAACGCTAATCAGAAAGCCATCCTAAAATAGCCTAGAGATAGCCTGTGTATCCACTGCATCACATTGCACCCACCATGCTGCTTACCACTACCGTATACTGTTTATCTCAACTAACTGCACCATAATTCTTATTTATTCCATTTAACTTCATTGCCATTTGCATGACTGATATACATCAAACTGTTTACCACTGCGCACTGGTAACTTATTGCACCGTAACCTTGTTAACTCATTTTAATTTATTTGTTGTTTGCACCACTGGTTGGATGCAAACTCCATTTCGCTGTCTCTGTACTCGTACTCTGACAATGACAATAAAGTTGAACCTAACTTGACCTAACATTTTGCAGAACAACATAAAAAAAAAACTTTTGCTTGAAGACAGGTGAACTATTTGACTCTTATCTGCTACCAGTTGCACATAAACAGAGCTGAAACTGTTAATGGACGGTAAAGACGCTACAAGGTCATTAAAAAAAACAGTCGCATCACTCTTGTGTGGTTTTATAATCCTGTAACCAACCACGCTTCATGTAAACTTGTGGGCAGCTGAATTCGTTCAAGTGACTGTCAGTCTCGTTAGCAGAAGAAAGGCTCTGGAAAGAAGACTGAGGGTGATTTGTACCTGCCGTCATGTCCCTTATTTCCAACAGACGTTTGCAGGAAAACAAGATTAGTGAAAAGCGTTTGTTTGTGCATAGCGCAGGATTGGAGAACATTTGATCTGAAGTGTATTCATTTGTGTTTGGAACATGAGCTATTTGATTTGACCGAGCAGATTCACCGACTTGAATCTCTCTCTTTCTTTCTCTTTCACGATTTCCCTTGATGCCTCATTAGCACAGTCAGCTTCTGCCCTGTTTTCATGAGAAATGCCAGTGATGTGCTATATTTACGCAAGCCAAATAAACATTAATAAAAAGTCATCTGAAAGAAGGTCTGTCGCAGTGAACGCGTCCTCTGCGTAGTTTGGTGCTATTACGAATGGGCAAGCCCAACACAAACAATAACTTCATTGTAAAGACTTGCTGAGTTTCCCTTTTAAATAAATACACGCATGGCCACAAGTCTTTCATTTTTAGCCATTATGTGGTAAACATTGAGCGTGTGCCAGTACACACATGTCAAGAGGTGAAAGTCCGCATGCAGGGCGAAGCGCGTGTGTGTGTGTGTGTGTGTGTGTGTGTGTGTGTGTGTGTATGCGCTCTGCTGAAGAGCTTAATGGCGTGATGAGAAGGCTACTTCTGGCCTGAGAGGTAGGTTGCTGGGATTTGCTTGGCCACAAAGCACTTTCAGCACTTCCCTGATGAAACAAATGGTTTAAGATGGATGTTAGTAATGGAACATGAGACCATGTGTTTTGACACAGATAGACTTTCCAGAGTTTAATAGCCAGTTGAGGACGTTTGACATTCTTAAGAGCAAAGTGTCAGCTCGGTAAATCCGCCACTAAATTAACGCACGCCATCTTCATCCTGCGGCCTTTCAAGTCTGGATGCGTTAAAAAGAAATAGTAATTGATCACGAACAAAAGACGTCAGCTTGTGGCTTTCGGGAGGGAGAAGGAGGTTGGGAGAGTGTCTCAGGCTCTGGAGCTGTGATGGAAACTTAATGAAAGGAAGATTGTTATTTTTATTAGCGCTTTGCTTCCTCTCCATATCTGGCTGCTCATGAGTTGGAATTTCAATGGGAAAGACTAATCTGGAATTCCAAATGCTGAAGTAATCAGCATGTGTTTCCAAAGTGCCTTTTCTGCCTGTCTCCAAACACTCCAGAGATGAGAAGTTTAAATCTGGGACTCTGACGGAATCTTTTGATCTATTCCCCTCTCAGCTACCATGACGAAACTTTCCTCATGGTACAGAATAACATAAGACAGGCTCTGGCTATGCAGACTTTAGGGAACTGATAGGAATTGGCAAAGTCCAAAAGACTTTATGTCTTAGAAAACAGTCGATATGCGTTCACATCTAATTGGTCCTCAAGGCAGAAAAGTTTTGATGGATTGCAGTGATCTTGGTTGGCCGATGTCACACTCCTCATGCAAATCTCTAACAAGAAGAAACTTATTACAGAAGTTTTCCAAAACATGTCTTGGCATCTCACATGGTTCACTGAGGCAAGCAACATTCGAGCTTCTCTTCTTAGATGAGAAAAAATCACGTATTGGAATCACATCCAGAAAACTATTTTCGATTTCAAAATAATTCTCGTGTAACAGATAAATCATATCCTTGGCACATACTTCCTCTTTTAATGGGCAATATTGAGTAATCATCTGGTAGATTTTCACCACTTCTGGAGTGCTTGCACCACACCCACTTCTGTTGAGAGATGAGTGAAATTGAGAATAAAGACTGGAATCAACTTGACTTTCATTCCTTGCTTAGAGAAACAGGAAGCAAATAGTGTAGTTTATTTGCAGTAGAGTGCTTGACATTATTTTGTAGATTAAGCCCAGTGTGATACCCGGGGTAATCAGTCTAGCACAGGGGTCATGAACTGGCAGACTGCAGCTGACCAAACCAAGTACTTGGAAAAAGAATAGCCTACTGTAACAGAACTGATAAATGTATGAAAAAAGTAGCTATAATTCAGCGACTCTAGTTTTCTAAATATGAACTTGGCTTCTTTAGCAGACCCTCTGTTGCGACTTATCCAATCACGTGCATTTCACATGTAAATTATTTATCTGAAGGAAGATCATCAGGCCAGAGGCCCAAGACATTACTTCAGAAAAGGGAGAGTTGAATTTTCACAGACTTTCATAGATGTTTCATTTCATTAAAAAATGTGTGGGGGGAGAAAAAAAAAAGTCGACAACAAAATCAGAATATTTAAAGATGAATGGACAGCTTTTCTTCTCCCCATGTCAAGTACGAAACAGATCCATCTTAACTCTTAAGAGTCCATGGCAGTGGTCAAAAGTGGTGATGGGAAGCATCACGATGAAAGGAAAGTCGTCATATTTATAGCCATAAGCTACTCTTTAATGGTTAAGCTTTAAATGGTAACCGTTAACACTATTCAGTCATGTTAGTCGCTTATCCGGACCCTTGTAAGCAGCACATCTTTTGTAGCAGGACCTTTATAGATTTTAGCTGAATACCCCTGGTCTTGTAGGAATGAATGTTTTGTGCAGGATCAGTGTGAACTCCAGTGTCAGGATTCTGCAAAAAAAACCCAAAAAAAACCACAGGTTCCCAAACAAAATTCCAAACAAGAGTGGCTGCCTTTAGCAATAAACTCACATCTGATGTAAGTGAAGATAGTGCAGCTAATAAAACAAATATGTTCTTTGTGAAGTTCATGTTTACAGTAAGTGTGGTCAAAGGGAATTTTGCTCACGCAGAAATACAGACATGAGAATAAACACTTCTCCTTCGAGATCATCGAACCCGCCATGCAGACTCAGATAGCGGGTGACAGAGAGAAAATGAGCCCTTCTTCAGGTAAGGAAGTGAGATGAGCTGGCGTACGTCAGTGTCTGGCATTGCTCCAAATTCAGAATCGTCCAGGGAATGTGGGAAGGCTGCCGTCAAATACACACCCTCCCGATGCGAGATGCAGATAATCACACTTTTTTTACGGTGCAAATTAAACAAACTAAGATGAATGGCACTTGAAAATCAAGCGAGGGCCATGCAGGGGTGGGCAGGTTTACAATTTATCAGCCAGGCCTCTGAGCAAGTAAAAGCTCCAGAGTGCTGCCCTGTCCCAAGTTTGCATTGCCTGGAAACTGACTAGGCAAAAACGTGGTAGCTAATGTGACACAATAAAATTTGGTTAGCTAGTTAAACACATTAGTGCAGATTAAGGGACCTGAATTAAGCATATGATGATTATTCTCTTGTAACACAGTTTATAATGTAGCACATTGTGTGTTTGCCCTCAGCAAAAAGTCAGCAAGTCATTGGCCAGTGTTTCCGGGCCCGGGACCAGCACTGGGAGTGCTGGAGTCCTGGCCGGGAATCGAAGCCGGGCCGTGGCGGTGAGAGCGCCGTGGCCTAACCACTAGTCCTCTAGGGACCCCGTGCATGCTAATTAATAATTATTCTAGCATCAGCCGGATTGCATGCCTACTGATATGTGTAGTGCAGGAGGCGGTGGTATTCAGAAAAAAGTTGTTTCTGCTGTTATAACAGTGCTGAGGTGTGTTGTGTCACTGTGAAGTGTGTTAAGATTAAACGTAGCTACATACCAAATGAAAAATTTCATTTCGCCAGTGTTAATATGGAGTAGAAGTGTTTTTTTTTTTTTTTTTTTTTTTTTTTTTTTTTTTTTTTTTTTTTTTTTTTTTTTTTTTTTTTTTTTTTTTTTTTTTTTTTTTTTTTTTCTCTGGTTGTTGAACCTTCTCTGCCAGGAAAATACGAATAAAAACACTAAAAGCCTGGGCACAAAAATCTGCTTGTACTGATTTTTTTTTTCAATCTCTGCCGTGGGTAGTAGCTGCTACAATATAACCAAAATGGTCAGCTTTTGCTATTGTGGAATTTCTGTTTGAGAAAGGAGGCATTTCCTGTTTATTTTGGTATTACAATTTACACCAGTATCCAAGATCGGGGAGTGCGTAATATGTAATCAGAGAGATTGTATTCATTAGTATGGTGTAATAAAAGCCGGGTAACTGCCATTGCCATTATGTTCCTCAAGGTGAAGAGATGATGAACGTTAAATTATTTAGATATATCAAAAATTTCATTCGCACACATTCTTTTCGGTCCTGGTAGAGATGAATGGTATCCTACATATCTTATAGCAGCTCTTCCTATGTTAGGGCATGTTCAGTAACGTTTTTTTTCCATGGCTTTTTATTTTTATTATTATTATTATTATTATTTTATTAAACTCAGAACAGCTAATGAATGGCCCCAAGCTCTCACGCATTCAAAGACTTTGACTAATATTGTGCCTGCAGTTATTATTTAGGATTAACTGGGAGTATACAGTGCACCCCAATGGTCTGCCGTCTGTCATTTCATCTGCACTTCCTCAGGCCATCCGCACTGAGCTGTCAGAAGGAGGATCTGAGACCTGGCATGCTTGCTCACAATAAGCCGGACTGGGACTTCTGTGTTTTATTACACCTCTGAGTTGCAGTTTGGTGTCTTCTTACTACAGTATCCAGATACAGCAGGGCGTGCAAGCCATGGTTCCTATTCTCCGTTTGCCGTGCATGTTCCGACGTGCCGCTTCGACGGAATGTAAACATGAAGCACGAATGAAAGACGTAAGACAGAGCTCACTTAAAAAAAGGGCTGGGCTAATCACAGCCTAGTACAGCCAAGGGGTAGAGTGTGTGCATGCAAGAGAGAGCAAGCTACATGTTCGCACAAACGGCTGGTTTCGGCTACTTTGCGTAGTTGATCCTGTTCCGTCTGGGTTGGTTTTGTTGATTTTCCAGTGCTTGTGTTACTGACTCTGTTTAATGGACAAATCTTTGAGAGAGAGCAGGTAGAAAGAGAGAGAGAAACGTGCTCGATTTTGCTATGAAAATTTGTCCGCACACTTTTATCATGGAGGCTGACAGGTGACTGATTGGATTGTTGTGATTCAGTAATATGATAGTGCTAGAGATCAGCCAAGAGTTCAGAGTTTCCAAATAAAAAGTGCAGGTTACCTCATGAAAGTGTTTATTTAATTGAAAATGGATTTTATGACATTTGCTGTCCTCGTGGTTGGGATGTGTTTGAGTAATATATCTGTTTTTTTTATACTTAGGAGCATTCATTTATTTTGTAAGAAGGCAGACGTAATGAGCGGTTCCACAGGATCTCTGAAAGTATTTTGGGTTGTGTTTCTTCCTGGTTTAATGGAAAACGATTCTTTGACATTAGGGTGAAAACGATTGTTTAATGCAGCTATTGCTCCAGGCTGATATTTTTTCCTGAATTTGCTCTTGACCTTTGTTCCTGACCTGTAGATAAACATGTCAACATTCAACTCTGTGTATCAGTGTAGTCTGATCAAATCACATCCACTCGAATGACCTGTGGTTGCGTAAACTAGGCCTCGGGTTTATATTCGCCTGTGTGTGTTTAGAAGATGATGACAAAGGGCACCTGCATCATCCTTACTGTTTAGTGTGCTGTAGGTGAGTGTGTATGTGGTGAGCAGCTGTGTAGTGAGTTAAGTGTGTTATACTGTGTGTGTGTGTGTGTGTGTGTGTGTGTGTGTGTGTGTATGTGTGTGTGTGGTTAGGACTGGACCCTAGAGCTCATTAACTATATTCTAGCTCTATTTCCATCTTCGTCACTGGCCTGTGGCCTGGTTTACTCGTCTTCAGAGACACCATAACTGTAACCAGTTTGTTTCTGTCTTTCTTTTTTGGTCTTTCTCACTCTGACCTGGGACGTACTAACACAAATTTTCTTATGATTTTCAATTGGACATGGATATCAGAATATGTCAAATCCAATACCAAACCAGCTTTTTTTGTGCCAATATCTGATATCCACATCATTTATTCATTCGTTTATCTTCAGTAAGCCCATGTCACCCAGCATTAGATCAATATATCCCTAATATTGAGTAGATACAGCCTCTTTTACACATCCACTTTTATTAGAACTTGAAAGGAGTTGGTAATTAATTGTGTGTGTAACAGGTCCTGAGAAGACTGATGTGTCAATCAGCAGGGTAAGACCTAGTGCAGTTCCCTGGAAATTATCAAGAGGGCTCGTGTTTGGACAGAAGCTGGTTTGTTACCGGGGAATAGTAAAGCAACAGAAGGAGGGAAATCCTAAAGTCAACAAAGAATAAAAGGAGAAATGTCTGGAAATTGGAAAGATTCAGAGTTAAAGGAACTGAAGGCCATTTGTGCTGAACACTCGTTAAATGACACAGTCATTATGGCCTCTGGTCATTTATAAAGGAATCACCAGCACAGTCTGATAGCATAGTGCAAGTCGGGAGAAGATGCTGGCAAGATGAGTGTTCAAAATGTACACCAAAGTCATTGCATGTGGGATTTGTTAAATATAGGGTCTTGTGTAATAGCTTGGGAAATGCATGTATTCTGGTGAAATACTGTTTGAATGACCCAAGTCTTGATTATAGCAAAATATGCCACTAATGTTCCTGCTTTTGAGTGTGAAAACATTATAGCTGTGTTTTCTTGACCTTATGAGCTGCGCTATGATGTCAGACATTCTTTTTTTAGTTTTAGTTATTTTAGTTTTATTCACACAACTTTATTGCCTTCACTGTGAGATGAATTGTGTTCTTTATATTTGGAACACTTTTATCGTGCAGGAGTGTGACATGGCTGTCTGGCCAAGTCATTAAAGAGGGACTGTTGAGCACTTGTTTTCCATGCTTGTTTTGACGATTTCCTGAGTGTGAGGGTGGTGCAGGCTGAACCAAATGTGCGTGGACGGGGAAATAAAATTTAGAGATTCTTACAGTACGGATTGTCCTAATGCAGCTTTATAAACATCAGTGCCTTAATGCAAAGTCAGCAACCCAAGGACAAGGAAACATCCTCAGGTGGCGGTAGAAAGATTAAGAACCCTAGAAGAAACCAAAACCTTACAATGAGTGGTAGTAATAAATATATCAATATATTGAACTATAATACAGGTAAAGAGATTAGCAGATTAGTTCAACAGTTATTGGTCAATCAAGGATGACAGAGCAAGGGTTTGGTGTAGGAGCTTACCTCAGCATGGGTGGTAGTAAAAGAGCTAAGTTCAGAGAGAGAGACAGAACTGGATAATGTCTTTATAGATGTGTGACCTCTGTGCAATGAGGGGCCTAATAGTGCATAGGGGCCTAATGAGTGTCTGCATTATTTCCTCAAAACTCTCTATTCATTGGTCCACCACCTTTACCCCTATGAGTATGGAAGTTCAGCTTCGTCCTTGACTGAACAGAGTGTCTACATCCCAAACGGGGATGAACTGATGCATTTGATACACAACAAATGACACGTTTATTAGCTAGCCCACCAGGTAAGTGAAAACTCCATTGTATAAAAAGTGGTAGCTAACATAGTAATACAGTATGGTGAGCTAGTTAGCTGGTGCATTAATACAGACTGAGGGAAACAACTGAGTACGTGATCATCTGGTACATTTTGTTTGCACCCTTTACAAAATGTCAGCCAATGTTTCAGCAGTGGGATGTGGTGTTCTCATGTCAGACGTAAAAGTTATTATTCACGTCTGGCACTTTATTTTCTCTCCATATGTTTAACTTTGAGGTGACAGTTTGTTGTACTAGGAGGAGAGTTATGACAACTTTTGCTGGACTTTTTATTATCATTGAAACCCTCATGGTTGTGGGTTGTCCATCCTTCTGTCTGTTTGTGCGTCTGTTCATCCGTTGGTCTGTGCGTTTGCCTGAGATTCTCGTTAGTGTGATATCTCAAGAAGGAGTGGTTGAATGTTTGTAGGATTTGTATGGTATTGTCACTGAAACCAGCAGATGAACTGATTAGATTTTGGAATTGATCTAAACAGGTTTGAGGTCACAGCAACGTCAAATGTCTGACAGTTTATAAGTGACACATACTGTTTGAAGTATATTGTAAGGGTATTTCTGGCGTACAAATCAGTAACAAGAAGGACCAGATTTATGGCGAAGACATCCCTTTCGATGCGTAACACATACCTGCATGTTCCTGAAAAGATCTTCTGTCATACGCTAATGTATACTGTAAGTAATCTGCCGTGTAAATATTGTTCTAGTGAAGAAGCACTTGCTATAATTACGGCATTGTGGTGCGTCACACCACCAGGAAGTGCATTATGTTTAAACATAGACGCATACCAGTAAAAATGTGTGTTTTGCAATAAGTAGGAAGTTTTTGTTTTCTTTTTCTTGTTGGTGATCCTACTTGTCTACTGGGCAGCTACAAAAAAAAAAAAAAAATTAGCCTGGACATGAAATCTGCTCGTCCCAAGCACTCAGGCTAGTGATTATCCACCTCTACAAAGCACTGACAGGAAAGCTATTCCAGAATTCAAGGAAAATATCTATATGTATCTGTACTTTGCTGTTTTTGGCATTGATAACAGCTGCATTTAC